GTTTTATTTAGAGGCAGGGTCTCACTGAGTTGCTTAGGGCCTCACTAAGTTGCTGAGGCTGGCTTTGAATTTGCTATCCTTCTGCCTAGGACCCCTGAGCCAGTGGGATTACGGGATATGCCACCACTCTTGACTGTTATTGGTGTTTGCAGGGAGGCTGTGCTGAGCTCCCACTTTTCCAGAAGTCCCATGTCCAGTCTTTACCTGTACATTTTAGACTTATGTAGTGTTCAAATTTTGTCCTTATGAACATAAGAAGTTTTATTTAATTCTTTTTAATATTTAAATAGTATCATAATGCACATTTCATTAGTTAGCTACACCTCCAAGTTATAAATGTTCCCATTGTCTCTTATGGATTATAATGTAAACAGTGATCCCTACATTAACCTTAAGTACTGTCATATTTTGGAAAATGTATCTGAAATGTAAAGGCTTAACAGAGAACCCACTGAATTTCAATAAGTTACTTTTAATGATTTAATTTAAAAACTTTTTTTCCAGTCTCCACATTAACATAGAGTTAAGTAGATTGTAAATTCACTGAGGAGGAAAATCCTACGTGTGTGTGAGTGTGTGTGTGTGTGTGTGTGTGTGTGTATATATATATATTAGAATTGTGGTACCTTTGCTCTTTACAGTTGATGAAAATGTTGATGTTATAATGGTCTTGTTTTTCAATGGGGGAAATTAGCCTGTAAGCCATCATGCATGATTTGGTTTCTCTATTAATTTAAAAGCATTATTTCTAAGACCAAGAAAATCATAATAACAATGACACCATTATAGTGACCTCAGCCTTACTTAAAGCAGTGCTTCGTTTTTACTGTTAAATTTTTTACTGTGTTTTGGGACAGGGCCTCAGCCATATCCTTTTTTCCTATCTGTGTTTAGCTGCATGTGACCAAGTATCAAATTTCTCAACGATTTTTAACTGCACAAATACCTTGCTCAAATATCTACATTTTGTTTACATGATTTGCAAATAATTTATTAATCTTTAGCTATTTTAGTATCATTAGGAACATATTAATGGGCTTCTGATAGAGAAGTTGAAATTACAATCAAAAGATTCAGAGGACTTCTGAGGCCAGGGAAGAGTTTCTGTTTACAGTAAATTATAGACCCCCCCTCCCCCAATCCTAAACTCTTTATGCTAATCAAAATAACTTGAATTAGTTGTCATTTGCTTTTGCAAGTATTAGATTTCAACCTCCCTTTTGATTGATGTTCATATTAGTTTTCTTATTTCATAATGCCTTCTACAAGTTTCACATTTTTTTTACATTGGACTTTTGAATAGTAATGGAGATCAGTGGGGTTTTGTTATAATTTTACTAAATATCTTTCAGATTTTTAATTCTAAATTATAAATAGTTCAGGAAACTCTCTCCTCTGAACCTTCTGTTCATGCACAAATATCCTTATATTTCTTCTGTCTTGAAATTCTCCCTTCCTCCCTGCAAGCTCTGAACCTTACTCTTCTTTTTATAGCCATGCTACTTAGGAGGAACTTCTTCTCTGTGCTGTGATTTGTACTTACTCTTTATTCCACTGAAATGGATTCAAACTTCACCTTTCCCCAGAACTACAACTTCTGATGTTACTAGTGGCTTTATTATTAGTAAATTCTACACATATGGATGAGTGAGGGAATGTGAATGCTGTACTCACTTCCTGTGACTTTGTATTATCTCCTTGTCATTCAGTTTCTTAACACACTTTTGCTGTCTACTGAGAAAATGTACTTCTTGTGTTTGCATCTAACAATTCTATAATTTTAGCCCTCACCTTTAGGTATCTGACCCATTTTGGTCTAATTTTTACATATGATGTTGAAGGAAGGGTCCTATCCCACTTTATTTATTTATTTACTTTTGATTTGGATATCAGTTCGCTACAACACCATTTGTAAAAGAGACTACTTGAAAATTAGTTCACTGCAACTATGTATGAACTTGCATTTCCATTCCATTGATGCTTATGTCTGTACCACCACCACACAGTTTTTATTGCTTGTAGCTTTGTAGTTAAGTCTTGCAATAGGAAAACATCCATTTATACAATTTTGCTTTTTATTTTAAAGATTGTTCTTGCTATTTCTGTTCTCCTAATTTTACTCAACATTTTCATTTTTGTAAGTAGTCAGCTGGTATTATTTCCTTGATTGGAAAGATCAGTTTAGAAAAAAATGGTCATTGTAACAACCCTGAGTCTTTCTATCTAGGAGCATTGGCTATCATTCCATTTATTTATATCTTTTGAAGTTTGTTTTAATAGTGTTTTATAGTTTTCAATGTACACATCTTTTATTCGTTTACTCCCAAGTGTGTTATTTTGATGTTATTGTAAATGGAATTGTTTTTCTAATTTCTATTTTTTGATTATTCATTGCTGATCTAAAGACATGGAAGTTATTTTCATATATTGATCTTGTATTCTGTAGCCTTGCTAAAACTCATTAATTAGCTAGCTCTGTTAGTTGAGTGTGTGTGTGTGTGTGTGTGTGTGTGTGTGTTATGCCTTAGTATTTTCTGTATACAGATTTAAGCCATTTCTGAACAGAGTATTTTTTAGTTTCTCCTTTCCAGTCTGAATGCTGTTGGTTTTTGTTGCATAATTGTTCTGGCCAGAACCTCAAGTAAAATGGTAAGAGAAGTCCTCTTGGTCTTTTTCCTGACCTTATGATGAAATTTTTCATCCTTTGCTTTTTAAGTATGATTTTAACTGTGGGTTTTCCTATTTGAGTGTTTTTAATATTAAAGAGTGATGGACTTTTCTTACAGTTGTCTTCTCTATCTGTTGAGATGATGTGGTTTTGTCCTTATTTTTGTGAACTTACATTAACTGATTTTCAAATGTTCAGTGAACTTTGCACTTCTGGAATAAATTAACTTGGTTCTTTTATATAATTTTTTTTTACTGGATTTGGCTTTGTATTTTTTGATAACTTTATCATCTATATTGATAAACGTTTGTAGTTTTTGTTTATTGCTGAGGGTCTCTCTGAATTGCTGAGGTGTCCTTGAACTTTGATCCTCCTGCCTCAGCCTCCCCCCTTGCTGGGATTACAGGTGTCTGCCACCACGTCTGGCTTCCCCTTGTCACTCCTGATGTTCAGGTGATACCCCATTTTCATTTCTCATTGCAGAAACCTGAGTCGTCTTTTATTGTTGGTTACTATAGCTAAAAGTTTATCATTTTATTAATCTTGTAAAGTTAGTCAACTTTTGAGTTTGTTGATTTTGCTCTTATTTTTTGTTTATTCTGCTCTAATTTTTATTATTTTTTCTTATTTTGTGTTTGTTTTTATTTCATATTTAGTAAAGGTGAAAGCTTAGGTTATTGATTTGAAATCTTGTATTTTTAACATAATCATTTAAAGCTATAAATTTCCTTCATAGTACTGCTTTAGATACCCTTATATGTCTTAATATGCTCTGTTTTCATTAGTATTTGTCTCAGAATATTTTCTAATTTTTCTTTTCATTTCTAGTTTGATCTAATGATTATTAAGTTACTTTTAATTAAGTTCTTTATGAGGATGGAAATCCCTGCTTATTGTTAGTGGTAAATTTTTTTTCCCACCCTTTCACTTTCAGTCTGTGGATGTCTTTTCCTGTGAGATGAATCTCTTGAAGCCAACATATTGTTGGATCTTTTTAAAAATTACCTTCTTTAATTTCTTCATATTTGTGAATTCCCCAAATTTCTTTCTTCAGTGGATTCTAATTTATTCCATATCAGCAGAAAATATACTTTGAATGATTTTAGACCTTTGAAAATTATTGAGGCCTATGAGATGTCCTGGCTTAGAGTTTGTCTTTGGAACTATTCCATTTGCACTTAAGTGCATGCTTCGTCTGTGGGCACAGTGTTTTATCCACTGTGCTTTCAATCCTATGTTATTTGTACTCACTAATACTAGATTAATCTTTATAGTTTACAAACCTAAATATGCAACTTACCTCCTTAAAATCATTAAGGACTTCTCAGTACCCTTCTGAACGTTCTAAGTTGCCTCTAAATCGACTTAAAGCTTCATATGATTTTGTGTCTGCTCTCCCTTTCCCTTTAGTGTTTTCATATTTCATCCAAATAGTACTCACAACACTCTTTTGATTTCCTGTATTTAATGTTGCTTGAGTCTTTAATCATTTTGTCCTCTGCTGAGGCCCTCCTGGCTTAGTCCTCACTCATCTGAGATAACACCTCTTGTAGAGAGCCCACTCTTCTAGCAACAGCTGCCTTCAGTGAGTTTTCTTTTTCAACTTTTGGCCCTGGACTTCCTTTACTGTAAAACACGAGAGACAATTTGACATATTTGTACATGTTACTGTTGGTTATTGTGTGGAGTGAGGGCGGTCAGGAAGAGGGAGGAATCAAGGCTGACTCCTATCGTTTCCAAATTGAGCATTTGATAGTCATGTAAGGTGAAATCAAAGTGCAGGTTTTCAGGAATAAGATTATGTATCACATTTTCAAAATGCCGACTCTCCTGCAGCTCCTGCAGTATCCCAGGGGAAATGTACAAAGGAATGTGCACCAGAGAAGCTGCCATGTTGGGTGTGTCTTTCTCCTTTGCTGGAGTGAGTTCCTTGGCTGTAGGACAGTGGCTGACTCCTCTTTGTTTTCCTGTCCCTGAGGCGCCTCAGATGCTCAGTGACCACTAGGGAGTTGAGCTGTAAGGAGCAGAGCCACCAGACAGTGCTTTTGGTGCTTTAACCTTATCCTAGGCATTTCACCTGGAAACCATGCCGAGGGAAAGGAAAGATGGTTGATTGCAGGAAATTTTAGCTTGGGGAAAAGTACTGTTTTTTTTCTCTTTTCCCTTCTTAGAGAAATTTATTAATATGTTTTAATTTTCAGAAATTCATATCTTGTTTTGTGAATTTAACTATTTTCCCAATCTTTTTTATTGATATTTTTCACTATTTGCACTAAATACTTTAGAATTTTTAACATGACACAGATTATGCTGTCTTCTCTTTCCTGTGTAGGACTACAATGATGAAATCAGACAAGCCCAGCTCCAGGAATTAACATATTTGAATGGTGGTTCAGAAAATGCGGATGTCCCAGTGGTTAGGGGGAAACCCACCCTACGGACAAGAGGTGTGCCAGCCCCAGCAATTACCAGGTAGGTGTTTATTAATTGGCTTACTTTTCCTTAAGGTTTGCGTGCCATGGCAACAGTTTCAACGTGTCTTATCTTAGTAGCCAGAAACCCCTCTATCAGTATATCTGTAGGAAGCCACTGTTCAGACTTTGAAAGTCACAAGTAGGGAATTCACCTTGGAGGGAGATATTCCTAGGCTTAACTGTTATCACTTTATCACTTACCACCTAATCACTTCAGGCAAATTATTACCCACTCTAAGGTTCATTCTTTAAAATGACAGTTTTTTGATGTGTAAGTAATATCATCGATATGCAGATTGGAGCCATGGCTCCTTGTGCCTTGCCCTGATTCTTCCCCCTTCCGGAGCCTAGTTCTTGGCCACACCTCCAGTGCTCTGACACGTCCAGCATCTAGTGGGTGTCCTAAGGTCTGTTGTCAGTTTGCTCTTTACAAGTGCTGTAGCATGTGAGAAATCCTTGGGCTGGTCCGGGCACACATTGATTGATTGCTTGTTTGTTTGTTATTTCTGTCTTTGTTTTGTGATTACATTTGTTTGTTTGTTTGTTTTGGTACCAGGGATTGAACCCAGGGTCACTTAGCCACTCAATCACATCCCCAGCCTCCCTACTCCTTTTTAAAATTGTTTTTTATTTTTAAATTTTGAGACAGGGTCTTGTTAAGTTGCTTAAGGCCCCACTAAGTTGCTGAGGGTGGCCTTGAATTTGTAATCTTCTAGCCTCACTCCCAAGATGCTAGGATTACAGGTATATGCCACTATACCCAGCTATGATTAATTCTATGAGGAAATGTTTTAAAGAGAATCAAAAATTTGATATGACTTTCTCAATTTTATTTGGAAATTATGTTTAGTTTTCCCATTTTTGTTCTGAAAGCAATCAGTGGAATAAAGAAATAGAGTTTTCTTTTAATCATGTGACTATATAGATTTTTTTTCAGGTAGAAGTTTGAATAAAACTATTAAATATATTGTTCTTATAAATCTCCAAGTTCCTCTGGGAGAACGAGAAGTTCCTTCCTCTATTGAGAGTTGCCAGCTGGAGCAATGTCAGAGCAGGAGTGTGCTGCTATGATATCAAGTCAGCAATAGGCCTTGAGCCTGTGGGGTTTCTGTGTCAAAAAGAGGTTTAATTGATGATTTCATGGAAAGGTACACGTAGGTACTCGGCAAACCCTAACTGCCTCTTTAATTTCTATTTCTTCCAACATTAAATTTACCTAAAATCATAAGAAATTACTTATGTACTATATTAGTTTGCTGCTAGCTGCTGTGACAAATTACCACAAATTTGGTGGCTGAAAATAAAAAATACAAAAATATATTCTCTTGTAGCTATGAAAGCCACATGACTAAAACCAGTTATCATTTGTTCAGAGGCAGGGTGTTGGCAGGGCTGTGTTCCCTCTGGAGGCTCTGAGGGCAAGTTCTTTTCTTGCTCCTTCAGTGTCTGGTGAGCCCAGCATGCCTGGATCGTGGCCCCATCACAGTGACCCCTCCCACTTCTTCACACTGCCTTCTCTTTCCTGACCTCCCTCTGCTGACTTTATAGGGTTCATGTGGTTGTATAGGGTAGTTCAAGGCAGGATAATGCAGGGGACCTCCATCTCAAGATCCTTCTCTTAGCTGCAAGGCCCCTTTTTCTGATTCAGGTAAGCTGTGCAGGTCACAAGGATTGGGATCACATAGTGGTTAATTGCCTGATATTATTTAGCGTACAGGTTTGACTCCTTAGTCTCAACTTTGTTATGATGGAAGCTCGCACGTTTTCCCAAAATGCATAACGTGTCAAATAATATATTTAAACATTCTCAACGTCTGAAGACTTGTACCTTCCCTCTGGCACTGACTTTGCTTGTTTGTCCATGTGTGGAGCATGTGGTTTGTGCTCATGGCTAGGAGCTTTCCCTTTTGGTGTGGCACACACATAACGCCCTGCCAAGCAACTGTCTCTGCAACCCTGCGAGGTAGTCAGACTCACATCATTCATCGTATTCAAATCTTCTCAAAAGAGAACAGAAAATACATGTAGATGCATACAAAGAGAGACAGCCTTCCAGACTTGACACTTACACAATGCCAGCATTCTTTTCTTTTTACTGACATAGGAAGGTGGGCAGGTAGGTAGGTAGGTACAGAGATACAGTCTCAGCATAGATCTCCTCAGTCAGTGACTGACCACATTTACAATGGTGATCCCATTAGACTGTAATGCAGCTGGAAAATGCCTGGAGCTATCAATGTAGTAGCCATGGTAACAGGATAATGTGACTCACTGCTCATCTGTCTGTGGCAGTGCTGATCTAAACAACCTTATTGCATTGCCAGTTCTACACGGAGGTTTGTTGTAGGTCCTACCATCTAGGTTCGTGTGAGTGCACTCTTCAGTGTGTAGACAGTGACACAACCCTCTACACATGAATTCCTCAGAATGCATCTGTCATTAAGTGATGTGACTGTATGTAGATGGGTAGATGTTTCTATATCTGTGGGTATGTACAGAAGCTTTCATTTTCATGATGTATAGCTTGTTTAAGTAAGTAGTATATAAAAATGTTCTGTGACCAGGCACAGCGGTGCACAGCTGTTACCCAGCAATTTGGGAGACTGAGGCAGGAGGATCGCAAGTTTGAGGTGCAATTGGGCAACTTAGTGAGATCCTCAGCAACTTGGTGAGAGACTCTCTCAAAATAAAGGAACAAAAAGGGTTGACGATGTAGCTCAGCAGCCTAAAGTGTCCCTGAGTTCAAGCTCAAGTACCAAAAAAATTAAAATTAAAAATAATATGTTTCAATATTTACATATCTCTATTTATATACATATACAATAAAATCAACCAGTGTTACTTGTCTCACTTAGGTTGTTTTTGTCCATTCCTTTTTCAAAATGCAAATGCAGAATGGTATCCTCACCAGAGTTGCCGTAGAGTGTGTCAGTGCCACTGCTCAGGCAACCACTGTGCCTGAAGACAGGTCCTAACTTAGCTGTCACTTTCTGTCAAGTTGAAAATATCAAGAGCTGACGCCACAAGCGCTTTTTTCATTTTGGAATGTAAGCCTGGAGAAACGCCTTTCACCTGCCCACGTGGGAAACCATTTCCTTGATCGTGGCCTTACCTTGCTTATGTTTAAAGCTGCTAAAATTCCTGATGAGACTCGTTTCACATTCACGTCTCAGACCCTGGTTTTCAGTTCATGGGGTGCTGGTGGGTAGAGCTGGCCTTAAAGGGGTGCGTGTACTTAAGAAACCACGTGGCTTGTGTGCTCGGCACCCTCAGGACACACTCTGTGTTTCCATTTTTCCATTTGATTCTGGTCTTCCTTGGTTCCAAACATTTTAAATTCCTTGTTTTAAAAGTTTATTTTCTTAAAAGGGACATTTAAAGCCCCTGTGTATTTTTTTTCTCAAAATCTGTCTCCAAGTCACTCTTTGTTGATTATTTTGCCCTGTTTCCTGTGCCTCCAGCCCACTCTGGGCTCTAAGCTCTGCCTCGGCAGCTTGTGCTGCACCCTCGCAGGTCTCTGTTTTCCTGATTTCTTTTGTCAGCAATTGTTTTTCTTCCCTCTGCTCCTCTCAAGTGTTTAAATCCTACTTACCTTTTCTGCCCGACCTGGAACTTACCTTAGCAAGCGCAGAGTACCTGCTATGGGTTATGCATTTTTCTAAGCACTTCAGAGGTGTTAACTCATTAGGCCTCATGATGATCTTTGAGATGGTATGGGAAGGCCAGACAAGGAAAGGGAGGCCAGAGAGGTCAGTTGTTTGCCAGAGGTCACACAGCTTGTGATTGACAGAGACAGCCTCTAAGCGAGGCCCTCTGGTTCCACAATCCAACCTGCTCCCCTGGGTGTGATCCTTCCCTTGTGTTTTTCGCCTGGAGGGAAATACTTTTCCTCCCTCCATTCTCCCACCACTTTTCCTGTGGAGCTTTGATTCTGGCACTGTTCTTATGTTTTCATTATGACACATGTTAATACCAACTGTGATGAAGAGGAAACCACGTGTGTAACTTGCAAAAATGTGGTCCATCCTATAGAATAAGAAAATAAAATAAGTTGATGTTGAAATTAGGGTAGAAAATCGCATAGACTCCTCAGGAAAGGTTAGTACGTGTTGTAACATTTTGTAGAATTTGTGGATTGGTCTTTAGTTTATACTTTGTATTTCCTGTGGCCAAAGCTGGGTACAGAGTTCATGGTACCTAAATGTCAAAAACATTGATAATACAGAAACAAACAAATAACAACATATACCATCAAAGCCTAGCACTTTCTAATCCTGAGATGTATGAAGAATCTTCTGGACATACTCATAAACGAGTCTCCCTATGACTTAATATTGCTGAAGGTGGGGGAAGTACTGGACTTTACCACTGAGCTGTATCCCCTGCTGTTTTTATTTTTTTATTTTGAGACAGGCTTGCCAAGTTGCTTAGGGCCTTGCTAAGTTGCTGAGGCTGGCCTTGAACTTGCAATCCTCCTGTCTCAGCCTGCCAAGTTGCTGGGATTATGGGTTTGCACCCCTGCACCAGACTTTTAAAATATTATTTTCAATAAAGTTCTTCATATCCACTTCCTCATTAAGTCATTTTGATTTTACATGTAAAATAAACCTCAATTTTATTTTTCTGTAATCACCTTTGCCATCCTTCCCAATCTAACCTACACTAGTCCTCTGTTTTCTATTTACAGTCATAATGACCATTTAATATTAAATTTGATTATATCTTGTCCTCACTTAAAATATGAGGACAATTTAAAATGTCCTCATGTTCCAGCTATGAGAAAATTCACGTTTTCTGGTATGTACTTGAATGTTCTGGCCACTCTTGTCACTCCCTGTGTCTCATTCCACCTTTTCACTCTCCTTGCTCCCTCCGCCACGCTGGCCTCCTCCTGTCCCGTAAACAGGCCCTGCTCACTCTTCCCACGTCTTTGGGCTCTCCTCCTTCTCCCTGGCAGGCTTGCTTGTCAGTGGTCCGGCTCCCTTCTCAGCACCGTGTTCCCTTGTTAAAGAAGGCTGTGGTGGTCTTCTGAGGTGGCCATCTCAGCACCCTGTCTCAGTCACTTTGTAGCATTTTCCAAACTGAATTGCCCTATTTGTTCACTTGGGTTATTCCTTATTAAAATGTTAGTCTGCAAAAGCCATTGTGTCCCTCAGACCTGGCATGTGATAATCACTTAGTAAATGAGAAAATACAGTAGCACTTTTCTGTATGCCTTCTGATCAAGTGTTGACCATTTAAAATATTCTTTCCTTAGTGCAGTTCTTGTTCTGTTTATGACTGAATTGCCTGGGTTGGGCTTTGTGGGAGTGTTCACGTAGATGTCACTGCTTGGGAATTTCGTGGTGGGATGTTTTTACTGCATGCGGTCTTCACGAGTGGTCCCACTGTTCACTTTAGGATGTCTTTCTGATACAGGGTGTAAACAATTGAAAATTAAATCCCACAGTGAGAAGTAACGCAAGTCTCTCGTGAAACCTTCTCACTTGAGTTCCAAATAAGAGCACTGAACTTCTGCCTCAGTATAGGCCATCAGGAGGCTTTTTTGCCCCCTGTGTGCCCTGGCAGTGCCTCCCGACTCCTTCCCTGCTCCAGCACGCAGACGGGATGGAGTGCCCTCGGTGCAGCCGCTGGGCAGTGTCACCCGCTTCCCCCGCAGGCCGTGCTGCCCTGTGCTCTCCTGCTTGTGTGGTGGTTGGCACCAGGTGATTTTGCACCCTCAGGGATGCTCCCTCCTGTTTCTCCCTTAGAAACCACTGGTTGGTTTGTGTTCTCCCTGGTGTAACTGTGGCATATATCTTGGCCCCTGGCTCTGCTACCTGTTTTCAGGCAGTTTGAAAGTCTCAGTTTCCTTCTCCAGAGATAAGCAAGGTGAGGCTTACCTCGTGTTAGAGTGACATTTGGGTCTTGGCATGACATCAAACTGAAGTCATGGCTTCCCCAGAGGTCACAGTGGCCTGCTCTTTCTATGAACCGGAGTCTGTGTCTCCATCTCTTTGATGTGACCATGTTGTGCTGGATTGCCCAAGTAGCTGGATTTCCTTTTGGTGGATATTTGCTTCTTATTTGTTTTGGCTCTTTTCTATGATTTCCTTTTTACCTTTTATGGAAATATAGAACGGTAATTTGTTTCATCTATGAACATATGTGAAGAATAGACTCTCAGAAAATATAACAAGTGCTGCTAATCTGACCTCTCATTTGCAGGGGAAGAGGAGGAGTCACCGCCCGGCCAGTTGGTGTTGGTGTGCCTCGTGGCACTCCAGCTCCCAGAGGAGTGCTGTCTACCCGGGGGCCAGTGAATCGGGGAAGAGGCCTTCTCACTCCCAGAGCAAGAGGGGTGCCCCCCACTGGGTACAGACCTCCACCACCACCCCCGACACAAGAGACCTACGGAGAGTATGTGAGTGGCAGTGTTAAATGACAGCTTTGTTGGTCAGGATGACTCGGTCTAGACATAGCTCTGGATGGTGTAGCAAAGTGGAGACCCTCACCTTATTTAGTTCTTGAATACTGTGCCTTAGTGCAGCAAACATTCATGGAGGCTGAGTAGGCCCCTGGTACTAGAGACACAGACACAGCCTGGCCTGTGCCTCATCCTGAGCCTGGGAAGGAACTGAGTGTGGGAGCTGCAGCACTTGTGTCCAGCAGAGGGGTCCTCAGCCCTAAGTTCAGTGTAACAGGCCTTCCTATTCCACCATGAATGTGCCTCTGAGCAGGTCAGTCATTAGAAAGAATATTGCCCAAAGACTCTGCAATGGTCCTGCCCTCAGGTCTCCCTTAGGTGTCTGCTAGGTAGAGACTCGTTGTTTTCCATGAAGAAAACAAAAATTCCCTATTTTTAAAATTGATGCAAATCATTTTTTAACTTATTTATCTGTTAATTCTTTACTGTAGTTCATAGCCTTAACATAAGAGGAAAAAAAAAATATAACCATGAAAAAATAGATCCATGAAAAGCAAGGAAACAGAAAAGACTCTTTTTGGTACTGGGGATTAAACTCAGGTTCACGTAACCAAGGAGCCACATCCCCACCCTTTTTATTTTTTATTTTGAGACAGGGTCTTGTTGAGTTGTCTGGGCTGGCCTCTAACTTGCAATCTTGCCTCAGCCTCCCCCGGAGCTGGGATTACAAACATGAGCCACCATGCCTAATAGGAATTCTTAGAGAATATAGACCCCTTGGGATTCTTATTGTAGCATCCTAGTTTCTCATACATACATGGAAAACAGAAACTGGCTGCATGGCTGGTATTGTTAAATTGAAGATATTGAAGGGAGACGCTGAGAACTGGGGTCACTGAGAACCAAGCTGTGATAGTAACAGGCAAGACCTGGCAGAGTCTCCCTTCTGACTCTTTGTAGGTCTCTTCCTAGGTCCTTCGCACCTTTTGCGTGGTTTCCAGAAAGTTTTGGTAATTCCCTGGCCTCCAACAACCTCTTGAGCTTTATTTGTAACCAATTTGTCATGCACATACTGAAGGTATTATAATTCCCCAAACATGCTGTCCTCCTAGGCCTCCAGAACTGGCTCATGCTGCCTGCTCAGCCTGGAAGAAATTCTCCTAGAGCTGGGGATGTGGCTCAAGTGGTAGCGCGCTCGCCTGGCATGCCTGGGGCGCTGGGTTCGATCCTTAGCACCAGATAAAAATAAAAAATAAAGATGTGTGTCCACCGGAAACTAAAAAATAAATATTAAAATATTCTCTCTCTCTCTCTCTCTCTCTCTCTCTCTCTCTCTTTAAAAAAAAAAATTCTCCTATTCTGACTGTCTCTTCTTTCTCCTTCTAGACTTAGGCCAGCTGTTGCTAGAGAAATTCAAAAGTGGTAGCAGCTAGCCTACTGGGCTTTACGACGGTTATTACATGATGTCTCTCTCACACCTAGACTGAACTTCTGGTAGTGCAGGGGTGGATAGCTTTTATTTCTTTATACTTAACAGACATCATACTGAGAGCTCAATGACTTATATTTAACAAAGTCCGTAATACACAGTTTCATCATTTTGTTATTCAGTTGCAGAAGAATGTGGTCCCTAACTCTTCTCTTTTTATATCTTACAATTGAACATGTTCTTCCTAATATTCTTATCTGACAGTAATCATACTTCACATTTTTCCCCAGATTTTGAGTTTCCAAAAGCAGTAAGTGCTTTTGATAGAGGGCTGCTGCTCTCCGAGCCCCTCAGGCAGACCCGTTGTCATCTTATGTCCGCCTTGGCTTGGCTGTTTCTTTCCACAGGGCAACTTCCTGGTAGCAGATAGAAGTGTAGCAGGTAGTAGAAGTGTCTGGAAGCCAGACTGGGCCACATTTTGCCATGAATTTGGTGTGAGGCGATTTGATTGAACATGTGGCTTTGTACTTCACGTATTGCAGAAGGAGTAGCATTGCCTTCTTTACATGGATTAACTGACCCTTCTACTCAGTGGGGACTCCTGGATGTCTCATATTCTCTGTCTTAGCCTCTGCACTTAGTTTATAAATAAATTAAATGAATAAATTCAAAGTTTTATTGTCCAGGAAAGGAAAAGCAAATGAAACTCAAAAGATTTGGTTTTGCTGTTGATTTAAAATATCTCAGATTTTTAAATATTTGTTCATTTATTTGCAGTAATAGGGACTGCACTCAGGGACTTGGGCATACTAGGCAAACGCTCTACCACTGAGCCACATCCCCAGGTTTTCATTTTATTTTAAGGCAGGTCCCACTGAGTTGCTCAGGTTGGCCGTAAACTTGTATCCTCCTGCCCCAGCCTCCTGAACAGTCAGGATGACAGGCTTGCACTACCATGCCTGATGTTTCTTTGTCCATTTATTTATTTATTTATTTTGGATAAATAATAGGAAAGACCTTGAAACAACTGAATTGCAAAATAATCTCCTGAGTTGCTGTGCTTTCCTTCCCATCTGCTACCAGGGAGCTGCCCTGTAGAAGAGGACTTGAGCTGAGCAGACAAAGAGCTCTGAACAAGGAAATCCTCGTGTTTTGAGTCCTGAACTCACAGCTGACACTTCTAGGCACTGATTATCAGTGCAACTGCAATGTCAGCCTAGGGCCAGCATTCTTGCTGCCCCACCTTGGTGTCCCTTGACATAGGCCGCCATATCACCCCTCCTTACCTTAATTTGGCTGGTATGCAGCAGGGGCAGTTTCACAAGCTCACACAACTGACAGTGTTTGCCGCACTTTAAACCATGCTGTTCGCTTCTCCATGTGTGCTTTAGGTGGCATTATGGGACACAGAAGGCAGACACTATCACAGCCCTCACTGTGAATCTCTGGGTGAATCTCTGCTACGGGGGGTTCTGATGGTAAACATTATCACTGACGCACTCAGTGTAGTGTATGGTATCCCTGAGAACGCTTTTTGAGATTAATATCCAAGAAGAAGGGTTTTCACCATTCAGTCTAGCATTTTGTAAGCCCCTGTGCACAGTTGTGAAAGCTTCAAGAGCTGAACACTGTATCTTAGGAACTTGTGTCAGGAGTAGACAGACCCCTCACCCCACTCACAGTTGCCTGCCCTCAGCAACATTGTTTGTCCCCTGTACCCTGCTGGCTTCATCTTCCTCTCCTGACCAAACTGTGTTAGGATTCCTTCCTCCCAGCCCCTCTAAGATGGCTTTTCAGTCTCTGGCATACCTCCAGACATTGGTCTAAACTGTTTGAACTCCTGGAGGTACTGACACAACACACTTAGCTTTGCCACCTGGGAAGGTGGATGGGGGGCAGGAATAAAACTTAGAAAAGTATTTATTTTGTTGCTATGTTTTCTGTGGCTAGGGTGGGTATGCAAAAAGATACCAATTTGGAAAGCCAAGGAATCTAGCCAGGCATGGTGGCACACACCTGTAATCCCAGCAACTCAGGAGGCTGAGGCAGGAGGATCACAAATTTGAGGGCAGCCTCAGCAATTTAATGAGACCCTGTCTCAAAATATAAAATAAACATGGATAGGGGTGCACTCAGTGGTTAAGTGCCCCAGGGTCCAATCCCCAGTACCAAGAGAAAAAGAAAAGGATCCCATGACACAAAGAAGTGACTATACCAAGTGGTTGGCAATAAACGAGAATAAAATCATGGCATTTGCATGGAAATGGATGGTGCTGGAGAAGATAATGCCAAGTGAAGTTAGCCAATCCCAAAAAAACAAATGCCAAATATTTTCTCTGATACAAGGAGTCTGACTCATAGTGGGGTAGGGAGGGGGAGCACGGGAGGAATTGGTGAACTCTAGATAGGGAGAGAAAGGCCGCAGGGGATTAGCAAGGATGGTGGAATGTGGTGGACATCATTATCCAAAGAACATGTCAGAAGACACAAATTGGTGTCAACATAATTTATATACAACCAGAGATATGAAAAGCTGTGCTGTATACGTGTAATAAGAATTCTAATGCATTCTGCTGTCATTTTTTTAATCAATAAAAAAAAGAATTTAGGAAAGTATTACACTGAACCAGACTTATCATAAATTAGATTCTAAATTCTGTTAGGGTGGAGCCTTCTCCCCCACCATCACCATTTCATTTGCAGCAGCTAATACAATGTCCAGCACATTGTTTAAGCTAGGAATTCTTGAATTGCAAGGGACACAGAGAACACTGAACCATGTAGGTCTTCAGTGGGTGTTTGTGAGGGAAGGAAGGATGGAGCATCCTCAGCTCTGAGCTTTAACGTGGCTGCTGCAGAGCTGGCCAGGTGCCTGCTGTGCGAGTCCCTTTTCCTCCCAGTGTCTGTGCACAGTCCAGCATGTGGCTGGGTGGCGAGTCACTGCGCTTGCCCGTTCTCTAGAGCATTGGTTCGAGTCCCTCATCAACTGACTCACCAGCTCTGAGCAGTTCCTGGCCCACTAGTAATGTTCTCAGGGTAAACAGCCTTATACAGAGACTTGCTACATTTTCCTCATGAGGATCACCATGATTCTCTGCTTAAACTATCTTAATTAAGTACATAGATGAGAGAACTATTAAGAAGAAGGGTATGGGGTTAGGACTAAAAAACAAACAACAACAACAAAGAATTATCACTACACATATCAGCAAAAATAAAAATAACATTTTCACTATTTAAGAATTTCAGCCAGTAGTACATGCCCATAATCCCAATTACTTGGGAGGCTGTAGCAGGAGGATCACAAGTTAAAGGCCAGCTTGAGCAGCTTAGCAAGACTCTGTCTCAGAAGTAAAATTAAGAAGAAAAAGGACTGAAATGTAGCTCAGTTGGTGAGCTACATTTATTTTGTCTTGCATAGCGTGTGCAAGGCCCTGAGTTTGATCCGGGATCACATAGAAAAACAATAAATTTCAGCGTATCCTCGTCTCTGAGAAGGGCTTGTCATTTCTTTGTAACTCAGAAATGCAAATTTTAATAATGTCTTTGAGGCTGGGGGCTTAGTTCT